TTATATATACATATTTATATATGAACCTATTTTATAAGTTTAGTGTACTTGGAATACGAAGTATGTTATATGCGTGTACATAATCTACATTTTGTTATAGTTCGTGTGTGTGTTTGTAGTGGGAGTGTTTTCTCTGTGTATGTTTTCAAGGTATACCTAAAGTTTTATGTGAATGTTTGATGTATCTGTATACAATGATATTGATATACGGATATAGTCATGGCGTTGCACTATTTTAGAGATAGTCATCACTGACTTATAATCTTTAGTATAAGTGCACAACTTACATGTACACCAGGGACGGGTCTGGTCGCTAATTGATATGGTAATGTCAACTCAAATAGCCGCACTTTGTATTGCTGGTCTTTTCAGAATGGCGCAAATAATCACACAAAGTATGCTTATTAGAGCTTATAAAAAGGACGTCGAGAACGATCTCATGCACGAGAAGGCATTGTCAACGGCAATCGCGTATGAAACGCAAACAAGCGCTAAGTTTTAACTGGCAAAATTATCTCAGTTTGATCTACGGTCAAAAACCGGATCCCGAGAACGGGTTCAGTGGTAAACAGGAGTCCCTAAAACCCGCCAAAATGCTCGGGTTCTGGGAGGCTTACATCCAGGAGACAGGCGTCAAGGTGCGGGAGCACACCGAAGTTGTTAGTGTTGACGATGGAGACAATGAGAGTGTCCGATATGTTGTAAGCGTAGAAAGTCAAGATGGGGGTCCAACCACCTACCATGCAAGGTAAGGTGTATGTCATGGCAAGATGGCAGGAATTATCGGCGAGTGCGAACTATCATGCAAAACGCGCCGCGCATGTTTAATGAAGAGGAGCTGTACAGGACAGTCTTGGGTGTTTGTGGTTGATTCGAAGGCCTTTGGAATGTATCTGAATTGAATATAGAGGGGCATGTGGTTCTAACTAGCACGAGAGTGCTGAGGCATACACTATAGTAGGCATCGACAGGCCGTATCAAATCCCCAATACGTCCTTGATAGACTGTCGAAACTTGTGTGACAGTGATCCTGTTTTTCTGTAAAACATCATCCCTCAATATTCCCATTATAGGAACGTCATCGCATGCTCCGGCACCTACCAAAAGCCGCGCATACCTGAAGAGCTAGCTACAAAGATCCCTGCGCACATTAAACAAGTGCGTGTTGGGACATATAAAAACATCGACGACAGTTTAAATGATGGGGGCGTATTGGTGGTCGGGGGAGGACAGACTGGTTTCCAGATTGGTGAAGGTACCGAACATGAGCTGAATGCATGTGCACCATTGATGGCTTACATATCGTCTGGCTGTCTATTGACTCCAAAATAATGTTTTGTCTAATAATTGTCCGTAGACTACTATGACGCACTGTTGTGACTTCCATGTGTGCATATCCCCAGGTAGGTGTGTGTTTGCTCATGTATCCGAAACTGAACACGTCCATATACTGACACCGACGTGATTTACAACGCACTGCGCATTCAGAAATCGTGAGATCCGGTAGAAAGGTTGTTGTGTGTACATCAATGGTGCCAGGTAGTCTTCGATCGTATCGCGGCGAAGGTAAGCTACTTTTCAGGCAGCACCTCATCCGCATACGCAATTATGGACTACCATGTGACATTCCGAACATGTCATTGCATGGTCACTGATCGTTTATCAGTGATCGCTTCTTTCTGTTGGCATACTTTAAATTATACGTCGCTCTAGAATGGCTTTACATCCGTGCACTTTGTTTTGATCTCATCCGATGACCGTGTTGCCCAGATATTTTCTACTGGATGGACCGCATAGGGTTCCTGTCGATGCCTATTCAGGCACTGTCTGTGCCAGAGATGCGATTCAACCGGATTCCGGTACGTAGACTTGGCAATGAACACGGTGTACGATTCGAGCTTGTCTGTAATGTGCACAATTAACAGTTATCCATTTGTGTGTTTTCTCGTTTATATATGGGTTCCTAACGCTGAGTGCGAGTCTACTGCGCAAAACTGTCCTTAATGTCGCACTGTTTACGCGCTACGCTCACCAATTGCATACAAATAAATTTGTGCCATTACATAATATACCAAGACCGGATATCTTTGGTCTCTATATTTACCTTTGCTAGGGCTAAGGAGTGTAGTCATCGACAAAACATATCTACTACGTACGCTATTTTACCTGACTACATTCATTTACGCTACGCAGGTGACAGGAAATGACCATGCTATCTCACCCCATAGTATGGCCAGAGAGGGTATGTGTTTTCTTTTTCATAAGTTATACTATTTGCGTACGCTTTTAGAATGAAAATGCATGACGGTCGACACATTATATGACAAGGTTTCCGGATGAGGGCGTGCCGCTGTAATTTGAGCTTTCTGTAGGAGCCTGTGTTTTCATGTTGTACGCCCATGGTAAGTAGTACTCGCCACATGCCAATGCAGATAGCAGATGAGAACATCAATTTATCAGTTTCATCTGTTTAGCAAACTCGGGCATGCAATGATGAAGGTCACATGTGGCATAACCACATTGTTTATCGCTTGCCAGCGCCGACATTGCATTCTTCTGTGTGTCATTGCTTCAATTGTGTGAAATCGAGACCCATCTGTACTATAACTGCAAACATGTGGTAGATATCTGACACAGAAGGCTGGTATATTGAATCCATCCAGGGGCCATTCTGGTAGGTAGTCTCGAGAAGGTCGAGGGAGATGAGCTTCAATTTAAGGATAATTTGAAAGAGCACGTTCGTTTCTGCGACGAGAGCTACTCGACACTCGCGCCGAGGATCGAAGGCTACTTAGAGAAGACCGGAACTGCTGGTGAATTTATTGATTCGTGTCCCTTTTTTTTGTGTGTGCTAACTGTTCTTAGAACACTAGAAGTGTGGCGAACAGGCGCAATTGTGCATGATAATACGCAACGTCAATCTTAGTATGTGCATATTGTCTAAATTTGTTGCGCCCATATATCTGTTGGCATAATATATCCGTAGACTGTGACTATGCTATAACTCATACACTTTCCCTGTCTAATACATATTGGCCGAGTACTTACGTTCTTGTTCACGAACATGTCTTGGTAGGTGAATATCCTCCGCCCGAGAAAGAGCCTGAATGGGAACCTCATGAACCTTTACTGAACGACTCCCCAATCCTCAAGATGAATATGAACGATGAGGGCATCACCAATGTATTTTGGGCCACCGGATGGTATGTCTGGCCATATAGGATCCGCTTATGTGGTTTGTTGGGAATCGATTTGTAGGGTTTTATTGTTTTTTATATAGACGAGCTGCTCAACTATTGTTTGAGTGGCCATATGGTGCTACAGGCCTTGCTAATTTTTATGAAAATGTGATATATTGAGTACAATCAAAACTGGTAGATATTCTAGGTGGGCTGCTGTTATTCATTACTCCACGAACATTCCGAGTTTAATTTTATAGGGTTTCTTTGTATACGGGTATTCTATGATAGCAACAGGCATGGAATGTATTGTCGATTTATTCAGCGACCTTGAGAAAATTACATGCGCTTCCAACAGTTCCTATGCTCTTTGATAAGCCTAAGCTTGTTTTGCCAATACTGCCGGAATTTCTGGTACATCGGCATGTCACATGGTTCTCAAGCACATCTGTGGTTTCCCTCCGAATTGCAGGGGTGCCGATTTCTCGTTTCTCAAGTGCGGAAATCTTGTAGACGAAATGGGGCCTGCCGGTCGACCTTTAACATGCGATGCCTCTAAGCCTGGGTTCTTCTACCTGGGCTTTCCTTGGCTCAGGACATTGAACTCGGCAAACATACAAGGTCATCACGCAGACGCCCTTTATATCGCAGATCAACTTACCGAATAGATGAACTAGATTTAGTTACTAGGGAGCTCTAACTCGTACATTAACAAGAAATAGAATGTAGTTTCATTATCGTATAGTACCATACTGGAAGGGCAATATTCCACTCATGCCTGCAGATCTTCATGAGCCTTAATGAGCCATACTTTCAATTCGGAATAGTACAGCTGACAATGACTCTACAATGAACATGAACAATCTAAATATATATTCATCCGTGTCTACATCAAGCATTGCGACAAGACAACTAGAAGTATTGGCATGGACTACAGTTAGTGCTCGTACATTCTTGCATGAGTTGATAACTGCCGAACATTCAAATATTCGATATCCACGTATCGCATTCGGGCAGAGACAATATTTACTACATATAGAATACGTGTAAAGCATGTCCTCGTACTCGATAACCAATAACGTTCGCACTTTGTCTGGCGTTAGGAGCCACCAATGCCGCTTTCAAACCTATTGAACTATATGAAGAGATCTCCAGCGATCCTTGCCACATCCGATCATTCGGGAAGACTCCTCACATATGTTCTTTAGGGAGACAGAGTCAGACTTGGTCAGGGCGGAGAGCCTGTGGAACTTGACATTCTTGCGAGTCATCAGACTACTGTGAGTAGCTGCAAAAGTGGAAGCTGCCTGAGCCCCTGGGGGGGGGGGGGGCTGTTCTCTTGTGTGATTTTAATTTCGCCTACAAACCAATGCCCAAAAAACAAAATGTGTAGTGGAGGCCACACCATTCTAGATCGGGAAGCACAGCTTTGTAAACTGCAACTAGTAAACGGTATATATATCGGTAGTATTATGACACCTGGACTTCCGAGAAGAGAACCGGTTGTTCCAGCCACGGCTAGTTACGATATCCGTATCTAATTACTAATAAGGACGGAAACTTACAAATGCCAATTTCCGAAGAATGTACTATTAAATGCCCATTTGTGAGTCCCGGTCTTGAAAGGTTACTCGTACAAGAAGTTACTCGTACGTGAAGTGGTTCAATTACAAGCTAAGAAGTACTTGGCAGGTCCTGGATAATTCCAATTTGCTCGGATTGTTGCTCCCGAATTTTCTAGCCATTCCTTAAGAGTACTGTACGGCTACATAGCCGCAGGTGAATATGTGTTGGAGAACGAGCTCGATATCGAAAAACATCTCAGTTTAAACGACCTCGAGAACATGTCGTATTAACAGGTGTAGAATAGAGTATATATTCTTCGCGACTGCAAGAATTGACTGCGACCGAATTCGAGTGAATCAGAGACAGTACATTGCCTAGCCTAGCTCAACATATAGTAAGATTACGTCTGCTACAACAAAAAAAATCTGCAAATGTAGACACATGGCTAGTATATATTTAGTGTAATATAGTGCGCGCGAGGGACGCATTTCATAACTGACCTAAAATGATATCAGCCACCGATTACGAGCAAAGTATAGTTCTCGCATATATGGCAAAGTGACAAGACTTGACGTAATTTGTGCTTCCTTTATTTATGGCTAAACACATCGGACACTGTATTGTATTCAGACACATAGCAGTATCCAAATTAGCAGTGAAATACTGTATGGTATGCACAGGTATTCTATAAACAACTCGAGGAAATATTAGTCATCGTTTTAATATTTTTGGAAAAGACGACATGGTGTAGTGCATGCATATATGTAATGTGGCCAAGAGAGACATTTGGTCATCGCGTGGAATTCCTGTTTGCTTTGCAGACATACTCGCCGAAAATGCTTTGCATAATGGAAAGTACATGCGTAGTATGAGCTGAACATGTTTATATATATATATAGACATATTATAAATACCCCACGATACAACCAAGGGACGAATCTTTCAAGCCTCGATTTGCTCGGTTCTTAGTGCGTGGTCTTAAATATGTACCCTGCTAGTGACCACACAATGCAACTGGATAAATCACAATTCACGATACGTAGCAATGCAGGTCATGCCGAATTAGAGATGCTACAGTTGCAATATAATTTGACAATGTCGTGCTCACCTACTACACGTCAGTGTATGTCGCACAAACTATGTATACCAAGTGGTCATCAACTTGCTACTGCGAGGTTACGCCCGCGGCCCGCCAGGGCCGTCATGGTTAGCTACTAGTATAGTGCAGAAACCTGCAGCTTCAGCCTCGTTACTCGTATCAGTCATATCAGCCTATTGAATGGGCCCAGACCCCCGACCCCAGAGCCTCCCAGCTGACGTTCCTTGACGCAGCTTGCTACTTTCTACTCTCTCTCTCTCTGTGTCTGTCTCTCTCTCTCGCTAGTAGCGGAGAGAGAGGTAGGCGAAGGGCGTAGGGCGTCGCCGTAGGCCCCCAGAGTCCAGAGCCAGAGCCTCGATATGACTGAGTGGGCCGATGTGCGCAACTTTGCTCTCTACTAACCATCAAACACTGAGTCTGCTTTCCTAGCATTATTTATCTGAAATAAATACATGCCAACGATTAAGAAGACCGAAACATTGTGAATTATAAAATCGTACTGTACACTGTACAGTGTACAGTGTACACACTACTGACTTTTTACACGTGTACAGTTTCAGTGTCGTTCAAGAGTCAGCCATCTCGAGGCTCGAGCTGTTTAGGGAAGTTTGAAAGAAGTCAAATATAAACTATTTATGAAATTGGATATTAACACCGTATTACCAACAATACATGATACCAACAGTCCAACACTATATGATACCAACAGCCCAACACTATATGATACCAACAGTCCAATACTCTATGATACCAACTGTCCAACTCATATATGACACCAACAGTCCAGCACTATATCAGCCTATGTGATACCAACACATGTTTTTTTGCAACAAAAAGCGAGAGATGAGAATATGAAAACTAAATATGCTCAAGGACAAGGCGAATTGAAAGTGAGAATAGCTGTTTTCAAGCGGTTATGATTGGCCACTAGGCGGATATTTTTGGGAAACTGAAATGGCGGCAACTCGTGAGAAGGTTATAAAATACCATTTACTCACTCTCAGTCGGTATTCGGTACCCGGTACTGATGATACAGGTAACAGAGAAACTAGTAAAGATAAGACACTCTCTCTAGAGAGAGCAGAGATTTAAACTGTAGATAGTAGTGTACAATAAAATAAACTGTAGTTGATCTCTAATCACAGAAGTGGGTTCGTATAGTATTTAATCTTGTACTTCCATGACTTGTGTTCAATATGAATACTATCCAACAAGGAACAAATTAATATATCAGTATTCTCTATGTTACTCTCAGCCGGGCTCGCCGGATAAATAATGGCCGGAAGTACGGCTGTATTTCATCGGATTGAGATGGCTATTACCGCTGATGTGATTTGCGTTGAGGGTTCATGCCATGGGTCACATCAAGTGCATTAACGGCTTCTCCTTGGACTTAAATTGTCGGTGCCGGATTTGCTTGGTGAGGATGTGAATAGCCTTTTGACTCGACAAAAAGTGCTCCTGTATATAATATTTAGAAGAATTGCACTAGGGAGGGTTATATTGGTGATTTTGGATTAAAATGTGTCGTCGTCTAGTAACCTGGGCTGCCATGAACAATATGTCGTCATCAAGTATCCATACTAAATGAGGAAATACTCTAAATGTATTGTCGATTCCAGATATTTTGGCAGTCACCCCTAGGTTAGCGCCCGTTAACAAGTCTCAGCCTCAAGACAACATGTTGGAAAATTTGTTGTCGGAGTGCGCTCCTTATTGTATGAAATATAAAAATTTTATCGAGCTTGAAACTTTATTGGATCACGTTATTTTTAGATTCCATAATTCAACACTTCCAATTTTGATATCCTCATCCTACCCAACGGAGATGAACAATTTTTGGCAAAGGAAAATCAATGGCGTCGTATGATTGGTGAATACAAAGCCCTTTTCTGGGACTCAAGGTGCACCCAAGCCGGTCTGCTAGGTCTTTGGGGCCGGTACCAAAGCTTGTCTCTGAAAATCAGTCTCACAAATGAACAAATATTCGACAATCAATATTTGAACATTGACAATATTTCAAAACAACAACACACAAACAACGCACACAATGATATCAGCTGAAGTTTCATGGCTTGTAGTTATAGCTCGTTACTATTATAGCATCGATTAGGAAGATATACGACTAATATTTCACGTATCTGAGAGAAGTGCACGACGATTCGTAACAAGATTCGAAATAATAGGCACGCCATTTCCTTGTAGAACTCGAAGACAGGCACGATCAGAAAGATTAAGATGTCCACGATTGACCCATATAGTGAAAAAATGCTACTCACAGAATCCCGCGCTCTATCTTGAACTTCAAACTTAAGTCACAGAGCGTTTTGGAAGAAGGGTGTACTTTACGACTCTCCTGTGTGTGTTGAGATATGATCTTTAAGTACACACGACGTGTCATGGAAAAATCCGCCCGCTTTGTGTCCTTCGAACTGCAGTTAGACTATCTTCGGGAGCTAAGAAAGGTACGTTACGAATATATTCACATGCAGTTAGGCCAATGTAAGTGCGTGTGAGTACAGGATCATAGAAACCCACAACGCATGCACTTACATTGGTCGCATGCGCAAACACACACGCACAATCACACAACGCACACACATACACGCACAACATATTTATGTAAACATATGTAAATTGATTGTGTGTAAACATACACACAATCACACTGACGCACACACACGGCCCACCCACCCACCCACATATGCCGTATGTGAGCACATATGTAAACATATATGTTTAAACATACACACAATCACACATACGCGCACACACGACCCACCCACCCACCCACACATGAAAACATATGAACATATATACGTACGTTCGCATGCTTCGTACACACACTTACAGTCAGTACATGTCAAAATACAGTGGCACACAACGCCATCACAATTGGTCTTTGTCGACGAGGCTTATAGAAATGCCCGTTCGACGTTTAGGAAGCGAGGCAGGGGACTGAAGAATACAAAATTATTTTCAGTCATCCCGTTTGAACGGGGA